GTCGGCCGCGCGCAGCGTTTTAGGTCGTTAACATTTTCGATTGCGCACAATGTCACTGACACGATATTGCGTCGCGGAAATCGCCATCAGCGAGCAAGACGAAACGGGAAATACTCGGAAACGTCGAGAACAACAAGCAAATCTTCTCCAAGTCAGTCAAATCAACTTCACAGCTTCACACTCGCCAAAAGTATATATAAACTAATTTTATTATATTAAGATTATCAATCTACGAGTAGAGTTGACTGACTTCGGTTTATTACGAATTAAATAAAATTTATTAAAACACGTTCCAAGTTAACAACCAGGAAATAACAGTTATCAGAAGGTATTTTAAGAAACATTTTTGCGACACATTGTAGTCGAATGACGTTGGCAAAATTCAATTCTAACGGATGGTTCAAGTTCAATTATATTGTGGAATTTTAACCAGCACAAAGTTTCTTTTGGTCGGCAAGGCTCGGAATCTAGAGCATTTTGCCGTAAATTACACAGTTCTCAGCGTGTTTGTAGTCTTTTTATTTTTATTTCAACATTTTTATTGTCACCATCGTATGGTCCCATTTACCTACCGTGTGAACAACAAAACAACTTTATGTGTATGCCAAGAATGAGTATTAAAATGTGGTTAATATATTTATTAAAACGCACCATGTTTTTTTTTATTGTACCGTCACCGGGTTGATTATTCCGCTGGAATGCGTCAAGGCGTATTTAGAAATTCAAAAATTTTATATCTTTTTTATTGCGTTAGTCACCGGTCGTAAACGCGGGCGTTTTCTCTGTTTTGATAGCGGCGCGATCACCGCATTCTCCGGATTAGTTCTGAAATATTCATAGTTTTGTGTTTATTATAAGCGAATTGGAAGGAAATGAAATAAAATGTAAAATAAAGTTGAGGGACAACGCCTTCATCAACGTTTTTAGTTGTCGCTGTTGTTGTTTGGTCGTTATTTTTATCGACTTTGAACTGAAATTCAACATCTATCGGTAACATGGTAGCGGAACAAGTTTTTTAAAAATTTAAATATCCAAGTCAACACAATTCGCTTACAATGTACTTGATATTTCCGTCAAAATCTGCTTTAATTTTCCATTACAATTCGTTTGTTTTACGACCTGGCTCGCGCGCCTGCTTTTATTTGTTTAGATATTAATTTACGGCCAGTGGAGCGAAAAAATCGCGTGCGAACACGTCGCAGCGCCGAAAATGAAACGAACTTTGACTCGCGAAAGGGGTTCGCCCGGAGTTTACCTTCGGCGGCCTTGGTTAAACGACCGCTTAATTATGCATGCGCGCGGATGAAAGATGTGCGCGATATGCGCGCCTATTTTCGGCCGGAACAGCCGATTGCTTTTAGTGAAACAACGCCGCGTTGTAAATTTCGGCATCGGGCCGGACCCATCGAAATGTCGAAAATGCCCACAGCCAGAAAAGGGAAAAGGTATATGTTTACGCGCATCGCCACCAAAACGAACACTAACATCTAAAAAAATGAATGAGCAATGAGCGGCAAAGGTCGGCACGTCGAGTTGAATTATAAATAAATCTTGGGCTTTAATTTATTAATCGAAATTAAATTATTTAGGTATCTTACTTTTTCGACTTGAAACACAATAAGAAAAATTTGCACAAATATTTGCGTATTTACGGAATTATAAAATATTTGATAATAAATCAATGAACATGGCTTCATAGCTCATATTAAAGCTTGTTTAGAGTGTCAGAGTCCACTTGGCAAGGATTTACGATTGTCGTGCATATGAGATTGTTTGTCGGTCGTTCACTCGATCGCCAATTGCAAAATTATTGTATTATAGGTCAATGATTGTTGCTCATCGAATCCTGGTGCACTTTCGCGCTTTCTATCGCATTAACGACAACCCAACACGCTTTGATAAATCAAAACACGAAACGAAAACCAATCACTTGATATTTATTCCTATAAAAAGCACAATTTTATTCTGTGTTGATTTATTAAGTGATTTATAAGCATCCCACATCAATTTCGCATAAATCACGCTGGAAATTAAAATAAACACAACAAATCAACAATTTGCTTGTAAATCGCACAACTCGAATCGGCAATTAATGTCATCGATTCCGTTTCATTAATGCACTTAATGCAGGCATTAATTTGAAATCGTATAAATCGAATGCTGTTCATTCATGACTTCAATGCTGTATTTACTTTAATGGTATTTAATGTATTTATCTGCAAGTCATTCATATATTTAATATTATTGCATCGCTTTTAAAGGTGCATTCGATGCGAAATATTAACCTATATAAAAGTCTTGCCATGGCGCTGATTGATTCGATAATATTGCAGCACCAAGGCGAACTTTATAAACGCTTTTGATTCGATTAGGTAACAAGTGTTTACGAACTAAAATGATAAGTTAAACTATTAAAATTATCAGACATAAATTGATTATATTTTAAAACTAAGATTACTACTTCAATAATATTATTAAGTTCGAAATAAATTGAGTTATGGCGAAAATTTTACTAAATTTATGTTTTATTGAGTTTGTATTTACCCAGTATATGATTTTATTGAATACATACGGTTATATACGAGTCTCTTATTGACCTACCTATTAAAGGCACGATCGTATCGATGTCAAATGTCGTGCGAACAGAAATTACATTAATCACGCGCAGCGACCGCGTCGTGTGTGCGTTGTTGGTTTTCTTCAACTCTATACGAAATTCAACGAACGTGTGCGACCATCGATAGAAATTTATTACACTCGTTTTCACTTTTTTATAAGTACACTCATTCAAGTTTAAATTTCCATTAAGAATTGCAAGTAAACTTGAACGAAATACATTTTAACGGCCACATTAAAAAACAGAATTAATTACATATTTGATTGATTTTTAATAAATTGGTAATCATTAAATATGAAACGAACCCGTTTTAGTTGTTGTTTGTTGTTGATTTTAATGCATTGGAAATAATTGCACGCGACGGCTGATTTCAAAGGCGGCATATTGCGCATTGCATATCACTGTACTAATTACCTTTCGGCGTAATTGTATAGATGCGCAAATTGTGTAATAAAACCGCACGTTTTGGTCGATCGATAATGAGTTTAGAATTTACTATTTTACCAGGAAAATGTTCATATTTATGCAGCAAAAAAATATAAAATATTAATTTAGGTTTTATCGTTTGTGGATTTGATTGTTTTATAAATACTACAATTTAATAGTTTTACAACTCTATTAAAACTATGATTGCATGTACGTATTTCAAGCGCAATTGCCATTTAACTGGATTATTATATCGTCATAATATTATGAAATTCGCGAAATACAAACACGCGAAATAAATGCTGAGTTGACATGTTTATTTTTAGCATAATTGCGAGTTTCATGAATTGAGAAAGTGAAATGTTTAAAATATAACGCTGAATAATGATTGATGTGTTTTGTGGGTCAGTTTGTTTAATTTTTTATTTTTAGTTGGAAAGTTTAGTCGGAATTTGTAAAGGTGCAAATTTCACTCGACTAAATTTACAAAATTATCTCTACGTGGGCGGATCAAAAGGAAACTGTAGTACGGCGGTGCAGGATTACGAAGCGCAATTCATCGCCGAGAAAAGTAATTTGGCAAAAGCGCAGCACGAGTTTTCTATTTATTTTTATTTCATTTTGTCCCGAGACTTTTGTAGACTTTTCTTCGGTACTTTACAGCTCGATATTCGGTGGATGAGTGAGTGAGTACTCAGTGCCATGTTCCCACAGCAATTTCGTGCCAGTCTGTATGTCAGTCTTTCAGTATTTCAGTGCAATATTTTTCAATTTACATGAGTTCATTCGAATTTATTCGCTGTGCACATTGGCGTTCTTGGCTCATCTACTATGTCGACGGGCAATTCAATCGGATTTATTGAATTTCTTTCGATTTATACAAATTTCTCCAAAACGCTTCGCCAACTTTTGGCACAAACATGTCGAAGACATTTTCATAAAGCGATTGTGAAACAATTGCGAATATTGTATGTTAACGAGTGCAATCGGCGAGATTTATGCGTTTGTTGTGACACTTTGTTGCGTTTATCCTGTCATGGTGGTCGATTTTTGTTGCACTTTACATAATAAACGCTAAACTAAACCAGATCGCGCGACGCTGCGGTCGAAAATTCTACGAATCGGAGAAAACGCGAGCTCGAACACGCACAGCGTTTTCGTAAACAGTGTAAACAGCAAACGGTGGCACAGTAAACTATTTATTTATTTACTTGCATGAAAACGAACATGCACACAGATGGAATGTAAAGAGTGTATTCGAATAAAATAAGAAGTGAAAAGTGCAAAGTCGGATGCAAGAAATAAGAAATAACTTGACTGAACTGAAATGAACTGAATTTCTCTATTCTTGTGTGTTTATTGTCATCGCGATCGAGAAGAGCATTGCGAAAATATTTATAAACGTGAACAAAACCGTAAAGTATTAAGAAATTTCAATGAATTTAATTTTTTTGAAGTTTTATGAAGTTGTTGACATAAAAATTAACCCAACAATACAAATTATGTGATTTTTACTCACGAAACATCGAGAAATAATACATTTTCCGCTTTGCTGGACAAAAAATGACATGTAAATTGTTTGGAAAGTGTTATAGTACATGTACAACAACTTATTCTAGAAGAACACGAACTTGACGTATCGTGCGTGTGTTGGTGTATTACGAAGTAAATTAGAATACCTACATGGAATACGCCTTGCCGGTTTAGTATAAACGTATAAATAAGTAAACCGACATTGATTCGATGTGACGAACGGTCGGAACGGACATTACGGGACGCGCCATCGCGCCAACCGAGCGGAGAAACAACGAGTTCAACGGCCCAAACGTTGCGCCATTCCGATCTGCGTGCGCTGTTTGTTTATACGCGAGAGGAATTATGCTCATTTTTACCAATTATACCCCCAACAATATAATTCACTGTTATTATAGTCTAAATAAATTTTATTTTGTTTCAGGTGTTTACATAGTGATAAAATCAGTTTTTGGACAATATTCATCTATTATCTACCAGTTATAAAGTAAGTTCAAAGTTTAGAATATTATTTCGATTTAATTACTCTCCGTCCTTGCAAACTTCGGAAATAAATAAATTAATGGAATGCAATTCAGGTTCGTTATTCAGTAAAATGCAATATTTAACTTAAAATGCTTTTTTAATAAGAATATAATCATTTAATTTGCAAAAAATAAATCGTGTTGCATTGTTGCACTACCACCGAAAACACCTGTCAAATGACGAAGTAGACAAAAATGTAGGTTATGTAAATCAATTTTTCTTTTCGTGAAATTTTCGGTGTTTTTATAAAACTTTGTATAAATAGACAATATGTATGTATTATTAAATTATATTTGGCACCTTGACAACTTTTCATTGTCTCATTGTTTACACTTTTAGTCGTGCATTAATACTAATACACTAGTAGGAATCATAGTAGTAAAATCTACGATCTAGCCAAATAAGGAAAGCCAAAATTTATAATGATTTGTTTACCTACTACAAAGCGTGAAAGTTTTTATGAAATATACCCACAGGTGGGATGTCTAATGCCAATTTAATTTTAACTGCGCACATTAACATTATAAAAAAACGCATATCAAGTAAGCAGATCTATCTGTGTCAGTTTTTTTTATTTTGCACGCTCCGAATGCAGAATGCAACATTTAATATTTCGAATTGTATATTGCACAATCAAAGGCTCATTCAATTTTTGTGTGGTGAATATCAGTGCGCGCAGTTGGGCGCTAATATTTTATTCATTAGGTGAGTGTCATGTGCAGATTGCGATTAGCATTTACACGCCGCCGATGCTGATGCTGTGCGATTAATATCAATTTAAACGTCTGCGATGTATTCACATATTCACGCCGAAGAGAATTCGCTAGATTTATGCATATTCAATGTCGATTATAACACGATAGGCGATAACAAAATTTCGCACTTAATGCATCACTAGGGAAGCAGTTTAAAATGTTATGCTGGGCATTTAAAATGATTCACTGCTAATTTTCGAAAAAAAAGTGAAGATATTTATCTATATTTAAAATTAAATTGCAATAAAAATTAATACTTACTTATACATCATACAAGGTTATCAAGTTATTTCATTTTTTGCTTTGCATATTTGCACTGCTGTTTTTTTATTATTTTTAATTTGTTTGCACATTCTATCTCATCAGAGCTCGACCGGGCACGCAATTCAGACTTTGTCTCATACCTACTTGAATGTAGATGTAGATATTTATTCGTCGTGGGCTGATGGGCAGTGCACAGCTCGACATTCTGATACATGGTTGCTTTACTTGTTTTCATCTTGCATATAAAGACGCAATTAAATACTGGGCAGCAAAAATGTGTGACGCATAAAAAGCCACCGCGGTGTGTCAAGACGATTCTAAATGGATAGGTTAGTTATTGGTAACGGGACGGATGCGATGTGATCATGATGGAATGTGTTTTTGAACAATTCCATATGCAAAGTGGTTCGTGGCCATGTACATAAGTATGAAGCGCATTTTAATTAGTTACAATGAAATGAAAAAAATTACATACACCATCTGTTTTGCAATTGTAAATAAATGTGCGAATTAGTTTGTGACTAAAAACGTTGATTTTGTACTGACTGTTGAAATTATTTGTTCGCTTATCGTGAATTTCGCAATCCGAGCGCGCGCACTTTTTGCCATCTCGCCCATCGTCGCATAAATATAGTATCTAAGTGTGCGTGGAATGCACAGAGATAATAATAATTCCTCCAATAATATTTACGCAAACAATTTCGTGCTCGTGTATATTTTCGTCGACGGTTCCAGCCGCTGAATGCGATTTTCTACTATTCGTAGTTTAGGTATTTTCAAGCGCTGTGGAAATTTCGCGCAAAACTACATTGTGCAACTAATACCAGATGACTAACGGTACGCCGAATGGAAAAACCTTGTTGGAATAACGCGCTGCAAATTATGCCTGTAAACTGTAAACAATACGCGGAGTGAGCAAATAATGAAATTTGCAGTGTCAAGGCTACAGGAAAATATTTGCTCGCTTTCTTTGGACATTTAATATTTATATGCGCGTTACGAAAGTAAGTTTCGATTTGTACTTGAAATGCGGAACGTATTAAATTCAATGTCAATGTTAGAATATTTTTGTTTTGAAAAATAAAATCGCGAAAATTTTTGTGCTTCAATAATATTGTAATATGATGCATTTGCATGGCATAATTTGTACACTAATTACATGCACGTCTACATAATACGCAATTTTATAACTCATTTTACAGATAGTCGCGAATCACTGCGAAAAACATCGCTTGTTTACGTTTGCGCGATGTGTGACGCAAACGTCTATTATATTATTGTAAGCGGTTGTATACACACACACTCGACATCCACTTATTTGAACTTTAGAAGGATCAATAAACATACTTTTTAATAATTTGTAGTTTATTGAGCGTTAAATTTTTACGTCTATCGGTTTTGTTTGTTCCGCGCATGCGTAACGAATTTAAACGATTTCTAAGATTTGGAATAAAATGTATTCTTTGTTGTGCATAACATAAATGTGCGTTTTATCACCCATTGTTATTTTTACATCGTCAGTGTCAATCATAACAGCTGGCAACAATGAACAGCGTCGACTTCCAGGAAATTAGCGTCTACGTACGCGAATGTTGCTATATTTTGTTGCAGCGCAAATAACGCAGGAAAATTATACGCGTAGGGAGTTGGTGCGGATATAGATAGCAGAATTATGAATACGTGTGTGAGTGCGGAGGCGGAAAGGATAATAACATCTTCACCGCGCAAATAGATTTATTTTTAGACTAACTTTTATTGGAGCATATGCGTGCGGATGCAATATAGAAAGCAATCGCTAGGGATCAACACAATCAAGAGTATATTGATGCAGTTTATTCTGGATATTTATATAAATTTAGCTTTTCGTGGAAACTTGGTCCGCATACGTTTTAATAAATCGGACTAATTACTTTCTTATTTCTTTGTGCGAAATCCATTATAAAAATATTTTAAAACCAAAATAAGTCAAATCACACCAGTGGTTTTCGAGTTTTAGTAAAACTATCAAACGTCAATTCAAAAAATATAATTTTTACTTTTTTAAATCGAAACATAAAAATAAATTTATACCAAAAGGGTTAGCACATATGTCGGTTATTTTTGTGGTTTTGCCTCAAATTATACTTCCTGCAATTACGAAGAATTTAATTATAAACGCCGGCGCCGTCAACAAATGCCGACAAACGTAAAAAACACAAGAATCCTCTAAATTATTCACAATCATTTCCACGAAGTATAAATTTAACTGTGCGTCAATTCTTATTATTATCGCCAGTGGTATATATAATTATAATGCTACACGAAACGCACGCGTTTGTGGTTTGTTTGGGTTTTTACGCATCGCTGGTGTAAGTATTTATTTCATTCTGATCTTTAACCATGCAACCACTTTCAACATTTGCTTGTGGGTAGAGATATCACAATAAATACCATTATTTCGATTGTGCGTGAAATATTATAATACCTACTTCTATTTTGGACACATTTTGAATGCAATAAACGGTGGTTTGTTACCGACTAGGATATTTGTTGCACTCGGTAAACTTGAACTTGATAATCGTGTTATCACTAATGTGTGTATTGCGATATTGTGATATTTATGTGTGCACACACAAGTTCGGTCGGAAAATCCACGTAATCTTGCTGATATTATTTAGTTTCGCTTGCGTTCAGTTTGATTATTACCAACACCTGAACACATGCTCATGAGAGTACTCATGTAAATAGATTTTATGAATGAAAAAATAAAGTTTGGGGGAATATTTTTATACAATTGTAAGATATTTTTACCAAAATTATTCCAACACGCAATGTGGGTGGACTATCGCACTCCACTTTCATTATCAGCTTATTCTGAATTTTTGACGTTAGATGTTTTCATTTGGCGTGTTCAAGTTTCACGTTCACGCGAACACCGCATGATTCCTCTTCAAACATGAGAAAAATTGTTAAGCGTTGTTTTGTGTTGTTTAATAAACAAGTTTAAGTAATCAGTTTAATCTAATTATTATTATTACCGCAATTGAGACGTAAAATTCCTCGGAAAAAATGAATAATTCTACTCGAGTGTTTTATTATGAGCAGATAGAAATGGATAGGAATAATATCGACGAATTTATATTTGAATTGATTGTGTGATTCGTGTAAAGCGTCGAAAAGCTTGAATGGGAAACGTTGGGGTTAAAGGGTTCCTATTCCTATTTAGATAGCGGTGGCGGTATTCGGCGTTCGGCAATGGCACCGAAATGGTTGTCGCGCATCCGGTGGTGGTGGAGGCTGGAGTGTTGGTGGCGTTGGCGTGCTCTAGAAAATCAATTTTTGCGCCGCGGGGGCGGCGCGCAGCACTGCTAACAGACGATTTTGGTGAATTTCACTCTTGAAATACATTATTTTAAAACGTAATACGCAATAACATAAACCTAAATTTACTTTTATTTTATTTTTGTCGTTTTTGGAAATTTAATTTCTATTTTTGTAGAGTTTTCGAACTGAAATTTTGAAAATCAAATTTTCCACTTTGCAAATTTATATATTTTAGCCTGCGCTGTTACGATAATATTCAATTAGTTCGTTATCATAACACACTGGCATGTCTGTGCATACGTAAACGGACATAGTAGCGTAGTAGCATAGTAGCACACTGGCTCGACGTCGTTCTCGGCTTTTGTTTTGACTATACATTTTCGCCCCGCGCGTAGCGTTGTAACGTTGTGGCCTAGTGGCGTCGAGCTACGTCCATTCAACGAGCGCTGCAGGGTGGATTTTTCCCGTATACTCTGTCGTCGCCGCCATTGATGCCCGGCGCCTCCACAGCGCTGCGCTTTATTCGCGGATGGTACCAACACTAAAGTGAACACGAAATGCAGTTAGCGTACTCTAGTGACATAAAATCGTATTGTTTCTAAATACACACTCATACAAAGCGTTGAAATATGTTTAAAAATATTTTATATTCATCTTCAAAACGAAACCGTTATCGTAATCTGTAAATACATCAAATGCTTAATGTTTATGATACGTTTCAATCGGATTTTCGCTTTGGTATGTTTTTTTTTCTGCCCGTGGAATTCCTTTGAATTTCACCCTGATTTTTTTCCCTCGACTTTTCTACTTCTTCGTTCAGAAGGATGAAAAGATGAAAACGTTTAGGGTTTCTTTGCGTCGAGTTTAGGACGTTTAGAAGTCTGATACTTCCGATACCACCCTACGATACTGCGCTTATATATGCTCTGTCGCTATGTTACTGGGTCCTTTCAAATCCGCTCCAACCCTGAAAGATATCGAGTGCTTGAACGCACTCGCATCTGAAGCGTGTCAACCAAATTCGATGTGCTATTCGGGCTGAACGTAAATGTAAACGTGAACGTTGAGGATGTCAACTGAGGTGGAAACACCCCCGCTGGATAAATAAGGATAAAATTGGATAAATGGAGCTTTGATAAGTAGTCCATTTACAAGTAGTTTTATATAGTTAAGCAGAAAATATTCAAATTTTGTAATTATTGTATTCCGTTTTGTTATTATTTGTTGGCTGTTTACACTGTGATAGTCACTTTTATTACAGTCACGGTCAAGGTCATCGATAAAAAATGAAACAAGTCATTTCAGCACGAAACGTAAAAGTGACCACACGGTGATAATCTTTTAACAGATTGAAACACTACGCAATTCGCAACTATGTGCGGTTTTCATCTGATACAATAACGAACAGCTGTTGGTACGCAAACAATACTGTTAATACCAATATCATAATTGATTACGTCGATAATGCCCGCGAATCGTTAAACTTGACACAACAACACGTGTATTTTACAGTTGCAAAAAAATTACTTTGAAAAGAAAACAATGACAATTAATGTGATTTTCATAATTTTTCTTATCTAAAAACATGAAACGTCATAACTTTAGTTGTTTGTTTGTTTGTTATTTCGTTATTGTATTTCTGTTGGCAATTATATTACGGTTTTAACGAGTATTTCCTGCGCAATTGAAGTCCGCCGACAGTAGAAATTGTTTCAACGTGTAAGTTCCTGTTTTTGAACAATCGCAATCACTCTAATTACTAACTTTACCATAGTTTTACATTCTTTTGCGTGCAGGAGTGGGTATGATGAAATATTGGCGTATTGAAAATATATTTTCGCTGTATTTTTTCGCGTAAAACTTCAATGGAATTCAGAATCATTAGTTTGTTAGCATACAGGCGTGCGGCTTTATCTGTTATCTATTTTGCATGTTATTCTTTATTTGCATACATTGTTGCAACAGAATTTCATTAATCATTAATCATATTTGCGGGCAAACAATATTTCATTATTAATGACTTATTCTAAGTTTTAAAAATGAGTTTATTTTGAAGCGTGTAAATTATTATGAAAATAACGCGTCGCTTAGATTAGATGGATTAAATTTTTAAATTCTAATTACACGCGCCGCACGTAAACACGAATTGAAAACCTTAGAAGTCGAAAACAAAACCGCAACCAAAACGGAAACGCCGAACGTCGATGTGTTTAAAGTTCCACGCGCTAACGCAACGAAAAGTTGAATATAAAAAAAATAAAACGCAATTAACATTTGAGCATTCATTTTCTAGCCAGTTAGTTATGAAACATTTAAATTAAAGGGAATTACTAGCATCACCGCGGAAATCTAATTAAATGCTTATTTTTAAAGCTGCAACTTTTTTCTTCTTTAAATTATTTAATTGTAGGTGTAATGTACATGCCACAATGAAACAAAGCGTGAAAAATAAATTTCCAGAAGTAATTTGATATTAATGATATCATTAAAAGGGCATTGCGTTTGTTTTTAGCTGAGTTTAATAGCGTAATTATTTAAATTAAACTTCACTTCAGTTTTATCTTTTATGTTAGGTTAAGTTATTTAGTTTTATATCTACCTAAGTAATCTTTTTGATTTGCTCGCGTTTATTTTTATTCAGTTTTATTAACTTTTTATTTGTTTGTGTCGCTGGAAACGCATCACGCGTTGTTCAATCAACTGAGTACTCAATTTTATTACCCTCTTCACTCCTCGCGAAGGACGCCGTCTTCTATAGCGCAATATCTCCAATTAGCTTTATTTTTATTTCGCTGCTCCACCCTTGCCGTCGAAGTCGGCGTCTTTCTGACATTCTCGCACGCGTATTTTTACGATGCATTATTTTTACTATTTGTTTACGTTTTGCAGCGCGCTCTGGTGTGTTTAATCTGTTTGTGCGTCTCGAGGCGAATTCAATTACACGTAATGCACGTGCCGAATGCACACTGTAATTCAATGTTGTGGCTAATGCAATTTGTTCGCGCGCTGCCCGTTCGCGTATTTCTATTTTGTTTAATTTCGTTGTTTCTGTTTTTGTTTACTGGACGAAGGAAACAAGTAATTGATTGATGCGTTGGTTGTGTTATGAGTTTGGCTCTCCCTCGGTTTGAGTTATGTGTGTTGTGCACAAGTTTCAATTGCGATTTGTAATTTGGCGGGATTGCGCCGAACGCGTACGAAGAAGGAAGCAAATTGCATGTCGTTAAAACTACTCGCAACCGTGGAAAATTGCGCAGTGTTTTCAGATAAATTGAAAACAAATACAAAGTCATAAAGTAATAGAGTATCTAAACAAAACTCAAAGTGGTAAAATTCGCGTGCGTCATAAATATGTAACGCGAGGGGTTTTACATCAAGTCATCACAAAAATATTTCACGGTTTTATGCGCGCATGTCTCTTGTGCATACAAACAAGCAAAGTTGTAGTTTTTAGTGACGCATTGTCTGAAGCTTGATTTTTTTTTAGTCATAAATAAAAGATTTTGTTAACTAAAATATTATGTTGGTAGTGATAGCGTAGTAGTTTTCAAACTAAATGTGATAATTTACCCGCAGGCGTTCACTTATCAAAGGAACGCGTTGTAATTAGTCCCGCGACAAGTCGTCGTTGACTGCGTTCTTTTCGCAGTCCAGTTCTTTGCGCGCGCGGCACGCGGTTTTAATTGAGAGTCGTAAAAGGCGGAATGCGTTAATGCTCAAAAGTTGCTTACACTTGAGGCGTCGATAGTGCACATTTACGACTTCTCTTGAAACTCAAAACACAACATGAAAATTGTTACGCGATGTGTAGACACAAATATGCGCACAAAAACGCGAAGTTGTAACGAAAAATGTATTAAACTAGAATATTCCGCAAATAAATCCAACGTTTTTATGACGCTTGTCTATGAACGAAGCAAAATTACATATTTTTTCGTTATTTTTGTTGCAGAATGTCATCAGAAGAAGAAATATTCCTGTTTCGTCGCAATCGTTTGCAGCGTTGGATGCTTACATAACCTCAACGCGACGCCATTTGACAGAAACGAGTGCATTTCGTGCAAGTACTGCACTGCACCTGCACACGCAATCAACCGACAACGAATGCTTGTGTGAGTATACAATCAATGCCACAACTCATTTGTACACAGTCAATTTCTACGTAGCTACTACATGTTTTATTTTTTTCCTCGTTGTTTGGTGTCGGTTTGACGTGTTCATCAGTTTTTTTTTGTTCTCGCTTCACGCAAGCTGGCGACTCGCGTTAGATCGTGTCCGATTACTGATGGACAAGGTGAAAGTTTATTAGTGGTGGCGGATAATTATGAATTTTTACATAAAGAACAGAAACCTGAACAAAGAAATAAATCGTGATTGTATAGATTAATCATCAGTCAACTTCAGAATCTTGGAAATGATTTAAATTTAATCTGAGATTGATTGTTTTTCGGTACGTTTTGAACGTTGTGATAAGATGATTGAAGGTTTTCGAGAAATATTTTGGCGCCATACTTCTACGCGTGTGAAGGTAAAATGATATCTGGGGCTGATATCTCGTGCGTGAGAGCATCGCGTCGTAGTTTGTCGTTCATCTGTTAATCAAACAATCAACAGTGAGTTGCATCACACGTGTAGTGCATTGCATTCAATCTCGGGCACGTTTTCCTCATGTTTTGCTTTCTAGGCATCGTTGCTGATTAAATCAAGTACTTTTACTTTACTTTCGTTTGCAACAAAATTACAATTTGTAATATACACTTATACTTGATTAGTATTTTCGTTTTTATTTCAAAACATAAATGTTGTGTGTAAATTATTATGAGTTCGGAGCGTTGGGAATGCGTTTGGTTATGTTGTAAACTTGATGAATGGTGTTGTTTATGGGCCGCGAGTGTGAGATATTAAATTATCTTCTAGCTATTTGTCATTTTCATTTCCCGCCTTGAAACATCTCAAGTTTTATTTCACTGCTAATTTAACTGCGGCTAATAAAAACAAAGTTGATTTGGTTGCCTAGGTTTTTAAAATGTAATTGTTAAGTTGGTTGCCTACATAATAACCTAAAATATAATGTTTTTTTCGTCTGGATGTGTTTTTACATTTTGGTCCGTTATTATGTTGATAACACTTAATTGTTATGATTGTACTGAAATGCGTTATCTGGCGACGTCGGCATGGAAGTGCGTAGCGCGTACTTTGGATGTAAACATGCACGCATCATCTACGCACCCGCACTTATTGAATGACGAGCCGCGGCGAGATTTTACTACGAACTTTTACTACGCCGTTGTGGAATGACACATGACACACAACAAATACTGATATGGAAAAAAAAGCCATTGTTGTCAGGCCGCTCGTTTGCTTTGCTTGCTCGACCCGCGGGTTTATCGCACGCTGTTTGCTTTTCCATTCATCGTTTATAAACGAAAACAAAACGCAACACGTGAGATAAATTTTATGTCGTGTGTTCGATGTTCAATAATAAATTTTATCGTTATTGGGCTTATCAAAAAAAAACTTTCACTTTTTCGACGCCATTGAAATGGACGGCCATATGTTCAAATCATGGTACAGCGTACATTTATTTCGAATACTTTGCATGCACTTGTTGACGAAACTTCTTTATATGCTAATGTGCGAAAACAAAACAATTTTCCATGCACTTGTAAATGCGATTGCATTTTCGTTTATTCATTTCACGCCCTCGCCCTCGTTTCTTATTTCGGTCGGGCTTGTGTATTCTTGTTCTTCTTGTTGGCCTGAACGTGACAGTTTAATATCCCCTTCCGCATGTCTCATCTAAGAAACAAACAAGCCAGCGAACGCGTCATCACCAACAAACAAACGCAAAACGTAATAAAACTACGCGCTAAGTAGAAAAAAATGTAAAAATAAGTCCAGCGAAACAAAGAAATGAAATTGACGCGCATGACGCTGGAGTTTCAAGGGTGAAAGAAAGTCATGGACGGTGCAACGTGCCGCTCGACACGCAGCTACATGAAGCTGCTCAAATTCAAGGAACAACTGAAACAAACAAAAAGAAATGAATATCATTCTAAGGACAAGTGTGACGTACGCGGTCGTCTTGGCGAAAGGACAAGACGTCCTTACCACGTGTTTACTTGCGTATTTTTTTCCTCCGTGTTTTTCCTTATCTTGTCCTTGAATATCCTGAAACATTCTCTCGTAAATGATTAATTATTTGTTAATCTCTCGAAATAACAAAACATCTTATGAATTGCGTTGGGTATTTTTTGTAATTTAAGGACAAACACAGTAATGTTATTCGTCATAGATTGTTATTTCCTCCGGTTAACATGCTATTTGATGATTCATTCACTTAACGTGATAGTAATTTAGTAAATAACAACAGTATTACATAACATTATGTTGGAACACAACAAAAAACAAAACACTTTTGTTACTTACAAAAAACACGTATGATTTGAAGGTTAACATGCGCAGCGCCATCTTTTTGCTTGATTATTATATAAAATCAAAGGAAAATAAACTCGCTGGGATTAAACGCAGACGCAGACTGTGTGGACTCTATTGTGAAAAATGTTGTCAACATGCCAGAAGTTAACGGTGTCAGGACGTCTGCAACTGTACGCGCCAGACATCACATTCGAATGAATACACATCACATTTCTCCAGAATTTAATAATATTATCAAGTATAATATCATATTTTATTTTATATTTCCATGCAAGTTTTTATTATTACTTTTATTTTTATTTGCGTGATTAAATCTTCGTCGTGTGCGTTCCACGTATTTTATGCGAAAGTTATTTTCCTACACAACAACAGTCTTTCTGTAAGTAGGTGCATATATTAATCAGCGTCGACAATTATAAGTTTGAATAGGTGCTTTGACAACAAAAGCGAGGAAATGGAATAAAGTTGACTCGCTTCGGTGTCCTGCCACAGCTTTGTACGGCGAGTGCGTGTGTTGTTTTGAGACGAGACGAAATGCGAAGATGTGGACGAAAATAACGGCCAGCGAAATGAACATTTAAATCGCGTACAGGTTGTACTAGTAGCGCATTTGTTACTTTCTATGCGTGCACCGATCGCGGTTGTCTCGTGCACTTAAAAATTACATCCACTGCGCGTATTTATATCCACCATCCAGACGGGCGACGCGCGACGTGCAGGACAAATGAGTATTAAGAGACATTAACTACCGGTGCGAGTCGCCGGCGTTTAAATGAATTCGCCGTCATGGGCAAACAATGTTTAATAATTTATTGTGTGTTTACCTCCTTGCAAACTTATTTAGATTCAAGATATATTTTAATATTAACATGTAAAAATATTTACTGCTTTTAAAAATACTAGTTAATGTTAGTTAGAGCATTTATAACTCAAGAACGGCTGGACAGATTTTGATGATATTTATTTTATTAGATGCGTCTAAGCTCCTAATGGCATAATAACTATTAAACTACTAAAAATTATTACTCAAAATATGTAAAATAAGGGAAGAATATTTGTAAAGGGAATCAATCATAGTTATAGCTAAATAATTAAATCCTAGATGGCGCTAAAGTGCATTATTTGCATTTCTTATTTTCTTAAAATAGAATTACAAATTTTATTAACATTAATTTATTAACAATCGACTGATACTAAGTGCTGAATAAGAAAAAATAAATAATTACATTTTTACTAAAAACTTCTACGCTAATTCAATATATTTATTACAACTTTGAATTTAATTCAGTAATTAGCCACAACATATTTGAAAACTAGGTGTTTACGAGTTTTAATTATAATTAGTGCGAATTAATAATAATTGATTGAATTTTAATTGCGTGTGGACAAAAGCATGAGCTCACTGAACAAACAAGATGTATACCTAATGCGAATCGCAATAAAATACATACATCATCAAATATCAGCGCGGTGAAATAATTGCTTTATTTGTTTAAACTTGCAATGCAAATAATAGCTTATTCCATAACTATAAATAAATAACGCTACAAAATGTTAAAAATAAAATGCAAGTTATAATATTATATCTAATTTTATGTTTGATTAAATGCATTGCATTCTCGAACGACGGTCAACAAGTCCGTAATTGTTTTTGAAATGTCAATCAAAATCGGCGAGCGCGAGAAAAACATGAAATCAAGAAATCAACATTTGTCTTGCTCTCAGTGTTAAGACACTATAATAAATAGTTAACTGCAAGTTTGATTTACTTAAGTAGTTATTAACGATAAATTACGAGCACGAACAAACGTAAATAATAATTTGCCAACTGCACCGAGCTCATTAACATTTCGAAGGTAAATTTAGGGAATTTCTGTATCTACATTCTTTATTTGATAAAGGAAAGGGTATTCACTTAATAATAAACTGTATAAAATTTTATATTTAAAAAATTATTAAGTTGTGTGTGTGTGTGTGTTTTGTGGTTAATTGCAATTGCTGTTTTGGCTGGCACATAGCAACTGTTGGATTTGTTGCTCGCTTTGCAATAGGAGCGAATCGAAAGCGGCGACGTTGTTCGCACGCTGCTAGAGCGCATAAAACCGCGCGTAATTGTTGCATAAATGTCATGCTTAAATATAAACATCGTGCGGCTCGCGTGTTTCGGGCGTAATTTACACGTGCCTCAAATCACGCACTGTGTTATTCCACCGAGTTTGGAATAACTTTATTCAATCAATTTAATAAATATTATCTTCTTAAATTTTCTAAAACACATAAAATATTTTATTTTATTTTATTTTATTTTATTTTAAGACCTTTTCTTTCTGTTATTTTTGTTATTGATATTGATTGATGCTCGGAATTGATTGATTGACTGATAGGTTTTTTATTATATCTGATGTTGCTTTTAGGTGACATTAATTTTTAATGATTTTCAATTTTAAATGAGGAAGAAAGCGACGCGATACTTTCCATCACGCACCCGCCTCGATACAACAAAACATTACACATTCCTTTTTTGTTCATGTATTCTAAAGGTAAACATTAACGGTTGAGAGCGTCTAGAATGGAGAACACAAATAGCTCATGTCTTCACGTGCTGGGGTGAATTAACAATTTCTACAGGGAAATCAACGCCACAACGATCGATACGCACGAAAATGTTTTCAATTTATTTCCAAGATTTCTCTGTTGGCATTTACTGTCGTCTACTAATTTTTATTCGACGTAAAATTAATGCCTAATATCAATCAAGCAAATTGCACAGGGTGAAACACCACAAATGTCCTTGAAAGTCGTTTGGTTGACAGTGAAAAAACGCTAAGCTTTCGTTGGTTGGGAGGTCGTTAATCCGATACAATTAGTATTAGTTTCCAGTTTCCTTTCTTCATTCTGCTCTATTTGTCTGTTTTGGGGTTTGGTCTAGATTGTAGACAAATGTCTGCAACATCGGAAGGGGCAATCGGTGTAACCGATTTTAATCCACTTTATTTGCACAGATGGCACCAAATTGCAGAGCGCAGGGCGAAAAATTCGGCTCGCATAGACTCACAGCATAAACCGCCCTTATATTTATACAACGTATTCCAATGTATTTCTTCATTATCTCGTAATGCGATACGCTGATACGCATTTTATTCGCGAGCGTCGACAAGCACTTTCATACATTCAAATATTACCCACCCACAGAGTGTTTTAAACACGCAATCTTATTATTATCCTTTTGCATCTTTTCTGAATGTTCGTAACAGTCGGTATACTAATAATATTAGATGTTGCAGTGGTTGTTGGCGGTTTAGTGGCGCTGCAAAATTCGTCACACGCGATGCGGTAATAAATCCCCGACGACGCGATGCGGCCCACCGAACATACACACATACAACCCTCGCCAAAAGCCACTAAACGCAAGTCAAACTTCATACTTCCCGTCTGTGAGTCGTTTTCCAAATTGCGGCGAAAGTGCGGAAGGAAACGAGCAAATATTGTACTTTCTAAGCCACAAATTTCCGAGCTTTTTGCCATCAGAAAAGGGACTTGAAAGTCGTCGAAGGAAAACTACTCGCAAAGTAGCCGTTTGCATCGAATCTCGAAAGGCGTAACGACCTATGAAAACGTCTCCGTCATATGTCTATCGTAAAACTTATTACATACGCTGAAGGTCACTTAGGGGGCAAACATTTTGAATAACTATAAAAATATCATCTATTTTTTTTTATTTTTCGTCATAAATTTCACGACGATATGATTTTTCATTTGAAGTCTTTCACCGGAAATCATTACTCTTGTGACTATAGCATGTCAGAAATTGTAGTGGCACAATTAATTTCGTATATGGTACCCACCTACAAAATGTTGGAGTGTCTTGACCCGCACGTAAACAACAGCGAACAAGCGAATCAACCACATACAGGTAGATAAATTGGTCTATAGTTATTTCGTTCAATTTTTTATTCGATGTTATTATGCGGCTTGGCGTTTTTAACGAGCACGTGACACAACACACGTGACAGATGCATCCGAGCGCATCGCGACAGCCTGGAAGCGCCGGTGTCACACCGTGGTGGGCTCTTGAATGGCTGCAATTTGGTGGATCGGTAGCCGGATCGTGGCGCGATAGCCCACCCCACCGACAATTTTTTGGATGATAACTAAATTGAATGGACATTACTGTACTTAGTTGTGCGTATACATGTGTGTGTAATGCGTAATTTATGTTCGTACCTGTAATCGACGTCGGTTCTAATTGAGCGACTATGTGCAGCGGAGCGTTTGGTTTTAAAATTTATTTCATGTACGCAAAACTGAAGACAGGAATTAATGACATTTTGATCACAATATATTTACTGTTTGATGACAGTTTATCACCGTAAATTTAAAAAAGTATCATATCAAAGATAGAATTTTAATATCACCTTTTTTTCTCATTTTGCATTTTTAAATTAATTTTTTTGAGACAAACAGTAGTTTATATTATTTTCCTTCATCAAAAATATTTTTATACCAATTTTTATCAAAATTGGCTAAGCGATTTTAGCCTGAAAGCGTTACAAACACACATTTGCATTTATTTTATTAGTTTAGATACCACTTAAGTTGTTTTTGTGTAAATTTTGTTTGAATCTAATTCCTAACTGTTGCTTCTGCTTGTTTTTCCTAATTCCATCTAATTTAATACAGTTGTTTGAGTAAATTGTAATTCGTGTTGACTGGTTACATTTGTAACGTTTCCTCTTCAAAAACTATTCGTGTCTCCATAAAATAAAAAGCTAAGTAAAGTCGTTAAAATGCATTTCTTCTTTTTCACTCGGACGCGACTACAATAACCGTAATTTCAACTATTCCAATTAGTGCGATAAAACGGGCGACTAACAAGAAGTGCACGCACATAAAAACCACGCAAACAAGACCACAATAATAAAAAGCCATCGACACCGAAGCGAACAAAAAAATAATGGAAACAAACGTAATATATGTTACAACTAACTTGTACATGCTCGTAGAACATTAGATGCATATTACATTATAGTTTAGCCTCCTTTGGTTCTTCGGGAACGTCTCACATCACATGTGGCGGCAATAAAACGAAACATACGTTAAAATGTAAAATATTAAAATTTCTAAGTGGTAATAAAATTTGTTACATTTCCAACAAACGTAAACGAATGTAAACTATGACGGTCGCAGTTGTAGCTATTGTTTTATTGAAATAAAAAAGCTGCGTAAACTAGGGAATATGCCGCATTGTTTTAATGAGAGTGGTTTTAATTAATTGGACGAGCTTTATGATATCATTTCTTCGACATTTGTGGCTTTTGCCGACTCGTTTCACGCGCAATATCGCTTCTTAATGAACCGTCCTGCAATTATTATAGAGGAATTGTATTCTAGCAGAATAACCATAATATTAAATTATGAATTAATTAACTATTAATTCATATTTCCTGCAATAGCAAAATTTTTGAATATAGGTATTTGTATTTTTCTTAAATTAAATTTTAAAAATTTTTGATTTAAAACTAGTGCTGATAATTGATGTACAGTTGTTGCAAGTTGCATCTCGTAATTAATTACCGCGTATTAAAATTTTATGCCCAGCGCAAGAATAATAGCCAGGATAATGAACGACGAATTTAATGAATAGTCCATCGCTGCCATCGCACCAGAAGCAATAAAATTAACAAGCGTGAAGTTGATAGTTAATATCGCAAGCCCGTGTGCGTACATCATTCCATTCATGCGCTGTGCGTATACGAGTACAAGTAGTACTAGTACGTACAGAAATTACACAATACTCGAATGTAACTTTGTCTAGGAGTAATGTGTAGAGTTGGTATCCATAACCAATTTCTATCTGAGCGCACGCAATAACGCGTATGCGTGCAATTAGTGGAGGTGCTTAATGCCGGCGGCGCGCGTGATACGAAATAGAACATTAAGTGCATTAATAAAGCTAGGGCGTAATTGGAAATAATTGCGTTGTCCTCGGGTGCGCATGCGCGCGCGTCGCACGGTAGGCGCACTGCAAGGAACGAGCGTATAAATCATTAACATTGTTTTTATTGGGTAATAAATTTACGTTTTACAATGTTTACAATAGTTTATGTTGTATTCCTCGTGATGAAAATTGCTAATTACTTTGTTGCATTAAGTAGACTTCATGAATAATCTCTACAGGGTGTAGCGTAATGAATTTTAATCGATTTAAAAAGTTTAAATGTTAAACGATTTATGTTTAACGGCTTACTGTGCGGATGAAATCATAAATTTTACACTCTATTAACATTCAATCGACTTTGTATAGCGAACAGCATATTGTACGTCATAACGAGTCACCTTTACAATGGAAATCCGAATAACAAGCAAAATCACCCCTAGTTTTGGTTATATACAATGATTTTTCCTATACGTTTCGCGTTACCATAAATTGCAACAACTGCACTGGAACTACAACTACAACTGCAAATTACCCTCCCGCATGACTTTATTCCATGTGTTGTATAAACGCATTCTTTTCACTGAGAGATTTTCTTTATGCTGTTATGCCCTGTGTGTGTGTGTTTGGTTATGTTTGCTATTATGACTGGTCAATGTGCTTTTAGTTTAGTTACGATCATTTCTAGCTGCGATTACAATGGTTATGAATCGTCGCGAATGGAAACACATTCGAGCGGCGGACAAAAGGGGCGAGTTTATATGCCCACTTTTATTCTCATCGTGCGGCAACGAAAATGGACTTAATGACCAGCATCGGGGCATTAAGTGCAACTTTGGCTCACAACTAGCAACTGCTCGTCTCTAACTTTTCCACCGGCCAACACTCGTATAACTTCCAGCATTTACGATTCATTAGGATTAGAATTATGGATTTATAAAGTTGATTTATGACTGTGTTGTGTAATGACTGAGCAGGGTCTCCCAATTTTGTTTTGGTGCGGAGTCCATACGTCACCTTATTTTGCTTAGTAGATCTTTATCAAACGGTTAGTGGCACCAAAAATCAAATCAAATCAAAAGTTTATTTTAATTTCATCTTTGAATAGAAGATATTTTGATGTTATGAAAATAATATTCAGTAATGAATTTCGGGATTAAGGCTTAAAATTATTTTATTGTTTGCGTCTTTAGTGTAGGATTTAATGGCGGTAATTTGCAAAATATTACTATCTACATTATTACCAAATGAAGTTTATAATATTTCTTGTTAAACTAACACTAGTAGCATTCACGTTTATTTTTAAATTTTGTTTAAGTCGAAAAATAATAATTTTCTTCTCTAACACGACAAAAGTAACAAAAACATTACGATAATTTATATTTTATATTTATATAAGTATGATTCCTGGTTTGTTTTTTTTTTTTCTTTTGTTAGTTTCCATTGCTTTCTTATTGTTTGCGAAGTTTTCTGTTGTTATGACTGTCAGTCGTTTTTCTTTAGCGTGTCTTGTTATCTGACTTTGAGGTGTTTATTTAATTCTTTAGAACTCTATTTGCGATGGAAAATTTTTCCAAGCACACCAGAAAAACAAAACACTTATGGAATTTTTACAGACTAGAACAGGCTAGAGACTAATTTTATTCTTATTTTCAGATGAGATCACTATTGTACCCAGTTAAGCGACAATATCAAGTAAACTAACAACAACCGGTGAGTTTTTTTTAAATTCTTTACCCTAAACTTTAAAAACGTTTTAAATTAAAGTAAAGCGTAAAGCGTTCTCTACGCTAATGAAAATTAGTTGTTTGTATAGCTAATGATCAACCTTCTTCTGTGTTGTCTTTGTTGCGTTCCACGTCGCGCTCGGTTTTTCCTCAATAGACAAATTTCGAATTTCAGCGCGACGCGCTCCTCAAACGTCAATTTTCGACTTGGTGCTGCTGCGTTCAGCATCACGCTTCCCTTCTTTTCAAAGTCTGTACAAACAGCGTGCGACAATGCAATGCGGCACTTTTTGTCACCACGACTAATTTAAACACACGCTCGACAAATGAATTTCACTTGAAAGAAAAATGTAAGAATATTTCTAAAAAGTTTAAGTCTGTATTGTATTCGCATTGAATTTCCTCATTGATGCGTAGGTGGATTGGGAAAAATTCAATTTTCAATTTATGCTAACAGGTAGTTTTCCGAGTCGTTATGGCAACACATCATCGAATGTCCTCCTTGTGCACAAAATTCAAGATCTATATTTCCGTCTCGAGCGTAAAATCGACGCAGACATCGTTCCCGAAGCGTCGCGAGGCGTCTAGACGCCATCCATTCTCGTACCGTAACGTTACGCTCTCTCTGTTAATAAACCAAAACTTATTTACAAAAAAATCACACTAACAACGCCGGCGACGCGACGATAAAGCCGTCGTTTCTCCATTAGTGTAGCCCGACCATGAAAACGCAACAATTACATGCGCATATTTCCCACTAAAATGCGACAAATATGTTTTATTAATTAATTCTGTATGCAGAAAGTATTTTTTTAATCGTGCTGCTCCTCCTCTGTGGTTGAATTTAATTATACCATCGGATAATCTCTAAGGAGTTTATACACGGTAAAAAATTGAAAGCGCGAAAATTGCTCACTACTCGGCGATGGCAATATTATGCAAATTAATTAAAGGATGTCGGCAAAAAAGCGTCGTGCACATTTAATTAATGAAATTTCATATCATAACAAGACTTTCAAATTACATTCTGTATTATGCCATTAGGTTTTTATTAGTTTTTCTCTTCAAGTATTTTTCTAATTAAAATATTTAAGTTTTTTTAGTTCTGCAGGGAAATAAAAATATTTGCATTGTTTGCGCAATCGTAAACGCAAGTATAAACCGTGACAATTTATGCATCGATAATTTTATGTCCGTTGGTCATAATAGTAAAAGTTGTGTGTTGCTGCCCTCTGACCGCCACCTCTGTGAAAATTTACTATCAAACTTTACTACACAATGCCTTACGTGCAAATTGCTATTGCAATTGCAGAAACGGTGATGACAGACATCATAAAGTTTAAGATATAAAACTATAATTGTGTTCAACTTTATTTGTTTTGATATTTTTTATTATTTAAGAGAAACTAGTACACAGAAATCAATTTAGTTTAAAAGTAGCAGTTTTATATTTTTCTACGAGAATTACATGAATATTTGACGTTAAGTTATGTGTAATTATGACTACTTGTCTACAAAAACATTGTTATCATTGTTTTTGTTTTCGTACGCACTTAAAACCGTAAAATTGCTTCTAATTTGACGTCGCGCACTACACGAATTCTCAGTCTTGGGATCCAAGCGGCGATTATAAATTACCGCGTTAGCGCACCGAGCGTAATCGGCGTTAATCAATTCCGATTACTTAACGCAGTTCCTCTCTTCGTTTGCATATTATCCACGAGGCCGCTCTATCGAGCGCGACATCGTAAAAACTTTACTATCTGTCCGTCCGGAGTATTATAGTTTCGACTTTTCGTTTGACGCCAACGAAACCAAAAAAAACTTACAAATTCAAAATGCTAAACATGGCATGAATTAATTAATTAATCGTAGATATAATTTTAATAGGTGTTGAAGTTTTTTAGAATTTATTGCTCTCTTTGCATACATTTTTTAATGAGTAAAGAAATACGTTTGAATATTCAATGCGCTTTTGTTGTAATTTTTATTTATGGAATTATCTTAACAAGATCAAATGTTTCCGTAAATTATCGAACATAAAAGCGTCTCTTTGTGTTGGAGCGTCACGCACGTTTTCCTCTCAGGAAATTTTTAATGAATGATTTTATTACGTCGCTCGTCCCCCGAGCGTAGTTTATTGATGATCGCTTGCGCATTCTGCAGTTTACAACTTTGTTGCCGGCACGCATCCGCTGCGGCCATATTGCGAGATCTACATTTCTCTCTGCTCGTTTGCAGTCCAAGTTTTTTTTTGTGATAGTTTTGTTCGTTTTTACGTTTGACCCGTGCGTTTGGCTGGTCTTTTGGTGGTCTTTCCGCCTCTATCGGATCGACGCGGCGCTGGCAATTCGGCTCTCTGCATAAAAGTCGTAAATTAATTCCGAAATTGTTGAATTTAATCAAATTATTAACGTTTACGACGCGCGGGCCAATCGCGCACCGGTGCGCGGCCGCGTGTCGTTGCCGATGTCGACTAGTTTCCGAGTTTTACGACTTTTGTTCGGTTTTTTCCACTTTCGTCTAGCATTCTAGGCCGGGCACGAAGAACAGAGGATTGACGGAACGCAGATGCGTGATGCGTTCATGCGACGCACAATACAATTTCCTCTTGGAGCGTTCGACCGGTGATGATAATAAAACGACGGATTCCATCCAACGTTTTTACTAGTTTTCGTAATGTTTTACTGGTAGCTTCAAAACTCAACTGGTTGTCATCTAAACTTTTTGTGTTGTTGAATTTTTTAAATCGGATGTCATCATTTTGTTCTCTAAAAATTACTGTTTTACCATTTGACCAATTATTTTATGCCGAATAATATTTTATTTAAAATATTACGTTAGAATAAATAATAACGAATAAAAAATATTCATTTTTTCACACTTCGGAAATAGTTTTTGTACCAATATTTCCTGAATTACAGTGAATTACGTTTTTAACTGAAAATTAATTTAAAATTAATTTAAAAATTAATTTTATCAAATTTTCTTTTATTTTCTTTTCTACAACTTTCCACCCCATATATAAGAACCTAAGTACTATTAGTAAATACAAAGATGAACATTTGTAAGTACCGTTGCAACATCCTAATGTTCTTTCTAATGTCGTGTTTTTCGAATGGGTCCTCTAACGAATACAAATCGGGGCACGGGGCAGATGTTCCTGCGGTTCTTTTCACTTTCTAGGTCCACACAAAACACTAACGAGCGTTTCGCTCAACTCCGCCAGTGTTCTCATTCCGGGCGCAACTTGGAAGTAATATTAAGGCATGCAACAAGGGCTGTGAGCCTCTTCTTCTAGATTCAAAAAAAATCTACCTTGCACACCGTGAAACACCACACAATACACGGCACGAACGCACATTCATCATTTTCTATGCCACACTATTGCTAGTTCTGTGTCGTTGCGTGTCGCCCGTCTTGTGCTTCAGATTCTGATCTGCTGCGGGGGCAATTCCATGCGTTCCGCAAACGATTCGCACGCACCTGGTTAGTTCCTTTCTTTTATTTTATTTTCTATACTATTCCACCATCTACCATCATATAATGCTGTGGAATATTTTGGAATTTTGCAGTGCTGCATTTTCATGCATTTTTATTTTTATAGGTTATGATTTATTTTTCATGGTCGGCATGCTGGTAATAAATAATAAATATTTGCCTGTATCAATACCAAGTGGCGTCTGGAGTGGATGGAGTGTATTCCCTTTTCAGATATTCCTTTTGACGATAGAGATACCGGGCGTTTGGGGGCTTGTGACCTCTAAAAGGGACATTTCTCATGGGTCCACATCCTCACGAACAGAGTCACACGTGTCTTACTAGTCTACATGGTTGTGTTATGTTTTATTGAAGTTATTGATCTGAATTTTTGATTTCAATTCTGATTCAATCGCTATTTTAAGAACGCGTTTCAAACTCGCCCTTCTCTAACTAGTTATATTTATTGATTGACGTGGGAAACTGCTCGAATTGTTCAGGTTTGTTACAACTTTCAAAGCAAACCAGGTTTTGTGTAATATTGTGTTTGTGTTTTTTTTTAATTTAAAAATTCTGGATAAGTTGGAACAATTTCAACGTGTGCACGAAAATTTGTTAAATTCAAAACAGGAAGATAAATCATAAACGTAAGTCTTTAACGGCACATAAATCCAGATTTAGCTATTCGTTCGTTGCAATAAAATTCAACTTTGTTTCTTGTCTGTTTTCGTCTGAAAACGCAACAAAAAAGTGTATTTTTAATTGAATTTAACTCTCTCCCGCACGCAGGAAATTGTTTTTTTGTAATCTACCAATTTCAGAAAAATATTTTAATTACTTGTATGATTTACTACGGTTAAGGGGTTTTAATTGTGACATAATTTATGGATGACAATTTTCGTATTTTGCAATTGAAATATTAAAAAATCTTTGTTTTTATTCTCTTCATTTATAAAAAATGCGCGTTTTTATAGCCGTTTACTCTCGCGTTTTTCAAGGGACACGAAATTAATTAATAATTCAATGTCGCGCATAGCATATGTGTACCGCCCTGTTGACACGCCACAGCTCGGAAGCAACGGCTTGTTATTGATATTGTGAGAAAACATCTCGTTGTGTTGCGTCGAAAAAACAACTTAATTTATGTGCTCAACTGGCTCGTGAGCTCACAACTCACAGCGCCAGATTTAAGGGGATAACTTACGTGAAACTTTATCATTAGAAAACTATAAAGAAAACAATTTTATAACATTTGATATCTAGCTAAACGAAAATAGCCACTGTCGCTAAACATCATGTGGTTAAGAGCCGAATGAATAAGCGATAATAGAAATAGGAACCCGGGCGCAGAGGAAAAGATCGGATTGGAATGGAAGTTGATGGCTGAAAATGTCGGTGTGTCGCGAGAGGAAACACGAGGGAAAACAAAAATAAACGAAAATAACGCTAGTGGCCCCCCTAAAGGAAAATCTGTTGTTGTGCAGTGATGCCGACATCGCGATTCGT